TTTAAAAATCTATGTATGAAATTCGTATGATTTCCAAATCTAGGTTAAAATCTGAAAACTACATAAAATACTCTCTCCACTGTTTTTCTCTTGTGTTGTCAGTGTGACAGCTCCCTCTCAAAAATGGCACTTGATAGCCTTCACCAGTGGATTTAAAGAGCTCAGAACTTAGTCTGTATTGTTGAGCTCCAAAACTGGGACACACTTGATAAGAGAATTATCCTTCAGTACAATAAGTGTGCGGATACGAGTGCAACTGTCTGTCAGCAGAGGCCTGCAAAGTAGCTGGTGGCTGTGGGTGTCTGATAGACCTCCTTCTTTTTTAGTACAGCTTTAACGCTACACAGAGAGAGTGTGTGGGCGATGTATCACTCTGACCCAAACACACTTTTCCTGCTGCCCGGCACAGAAAAGTAGTTTGTGTTCATCAGCCCAGTGACTCTCTCTTTGGGGTAGGTCCTATTCTGGTGCACACGGTTTCACCTGTGCGTTTACAAATGCAATCTGAAAATGAATACAGTTGACGTAGAGCTTTTTAAACAAAGAATAATCCCTTAAACTGTTTCAAGTTTCAACAACTTTTTCCACCATGCTGTTTTAAAATTAATGTTTTTATTATGGGCTGTGCAGGTTGAGTTGCTTTAGGCTCGTTTAAAAAGTTGCTTCAATGTACGGCCATCTGGAAAATACTGATTTTAAAGAGGGTGAGTTAAACTTAAGCACTGCTGCGGGGAACAATTCAGCTAATTGTAAACAGCTGCAGGTGATATCACCCCTCAGACAAAAGTCTCCCTGAAAAGATGCTAACTTAAAGAAAAGCTTAAATAGTGTCTGACCTACTGAAGGAAATACAAAGTGTCTCCTTCAACAATAAATGATGCCAATTTACTCTGTCCTCAAGTGACAAATGTTTTTCGGTGAACAGTCATGCATTCGCTCTGTAACGTCCTACAGGCATAACCCCCACTGAAAAGCCCATTAGAATCAAATGAATGTCAAATTCTGCTAAGTGTTTGCACATGACAAAACATCTAACATGGCTAATTGCAGATAAGTGTCAGGGGGAAATGGGTTTTGAGCCTAAGATGGGACAAAATGGCGTCATGTCTTTTTGAGTCTAGGTTTGTGGTAAACGTGATGAAAACTCAAGAACTCAGATAAGTATTTGTCTGCATCATCAATTAATCATAGTGGTCATTAGGGTCAGTCAAGAAAGACACAGACAGAACGTGTTTCATGTAAAAACAACATAATTATGGATTGTTGTTCTTTTGTGCATTTAGTATTTTATACATTTTACTTCAAAGAATACTGTGTGTAATAAAGAGCAGAACAACTAAAGTAATGTGTGCATTAATTGGCAATATTTTAGATAAAAGATTATTGGCAAAACAGTTAAAAATCACAATTTGCAACTTTTTTGTCATATGTTATATTGAACTTAAAGTTGATAGTTTTGTTGTTGGTTGTGTTTAAAAAAAAAAAACGATGAACATGTAAACTTTGAGAACTAACTTTAATTACACTGATAATCATATTTTGAAAAAGCGATAATCTAGAGAATATCCAGTTAATTAATGATTAATGAAAACTACAATTTCATTAGATTTGATTAGATCAGATATAATGTATTGATTTGTTAAAGCAGCGTGTAAAACAGACATTGCACACAAACAAACCGTAAATATACATATACATATTATAATATGAAAATATATACATCTACAGAGCATCTACAGTATAGTACACAAACAAAAAAAATACAGAATAAGTTAGAAAACACCAGAATAGACTATTGTACTCCTAAATAACTTTACAAATAGAATATATACATTATAACGTGTCTGATGTAGTTTCACATATGAATTAAATTGCCGTTTTTGCGTCCTTGTTTGGTTAGTATCAGAATCAGAATACCTTTATCAGTCCCACAGAGGGGACATGTACATTGTCACAGCAGAAAAGAGCCATAGACAGCTTGATGTTACCTAAGAAGCATGCATAAACAATTTACAAAATACACATCCTGTAACAGTTCTGAGGATTCAGCCGCCAGTTATTAACGGCATATACATTATATACATATTACATATTGCAGTTTGGTGACGCCTCCAGCCTCCCACAGTGTGTTTCTGTGTCTGTTAGCACTTGGGTTGCACAGCTCGCATTGTTTCCATGCAGCAGTGTGACTGGGCACCATCTTGCGTCCTGACACAGGAGCAGGAGGCTCAGTGAGAGAGGAGAGAGGAGAGAGGAGAGAGGAGAGAGGAGAGAGAGGAGAGTCTCAGGGCCGGCCTCTTCCAGATTTGGGTCTGTGAGTTATTGACCCTCCTTGATAAACCCCTCTGAATGACAGTGGCATAATTCAGCCTAAAAGTTTGCGCTGTCACCGGGACGGGCTAACTGTCTGCCCTGAATATATGGGTGCAATTTTCGAAATAGGTTTATAGCAATTCTTGGGAGAGGAGGGCGAGATAGCGATATTACTGACTTTATCACTGCAGCTGAGCAGCATCTCGCACCTCTCCCCTCTGTATCTCTATTCCTGCTCAGCAGTGAGGGATCACACTGCACACACACTGCACACACACTGCACACACTGTAGGTATTACTAGAGAGAAAAGAGTCCAGCTACTAATGGAGGGTAGTGAAATCACATGTCTTTATTACAGTAATGCTACATTATGCACACTTATCGTTAGCCCACTTGTTTCCTCTTCCCTCCTCTGGTTGAATTCAACATTAGTATCTTAACTCGGTGTTTGCTTGCGATTAATCTTTATAAACAAGTTTTTTTATCAGATGGTTAATTTCTCTCTGAATTAGTATTCAAGGGGAGTTTACAATGTTGCTGTGAAAGTGACTAACTTAACTGTTTCACCTCTAATACTCTAATACACTTTTGTGTCTGAAATGTGCTGTATACATTAACTAACCTTAACCTTAAGATAATATATTCATTTTCTAATGTGTAATTTTAGGACCTTTTATGACCTCTTGTTACACCGGTTTATCTTATTATCCATGATCTATATTTACTGAAAAATGTCTACTAGGAATGAGTAATGCAGTGTCACAGTCAATCATATTTAATAGTAATGTGAGACCTGTTAAGCACGAAGCCAAAATAATGAGTCATCCTGTCTGTAAACTGCACCTTTATTCACACCACTTTTTTCCTCAGTCATGCTGCATTCTCAATGTATTTTCGTCCGTGTAATATGAACAGCTCATTGTTGAAATCTAACTGAATCTTTTTTTTTTTTCCACTCACGTGTCAAGTCAGAATCTCAACCCATAAGAATCTGATATACTGAGCCCAGTATAGTGCATCCTATAAATTGATTTTGACCCAGCCCTTGAACAAAAGGAACACTGTTGCATTGCCATCCACGGCTGATGCCACTCCCTCTTTGGCTCACGCTGAATACTCTCCTTTAATAGTGTGATGGCTGGTAGCTGGCTGACACAAAAAAAAAAGGGGCTTATTTAGTTGGCGGAGGAGAGGTATAGGCCGGGCGAGGATGGGGTTTCTCTGACTGGCACCGATCAATCACTGTGTGAGGAGAAGCTAATGAAGCAGGCTATGGTTTATTAAAGGGTTAGCAGAGAAAAGATTACAGCGGGGCCTCAGTATCCCAGAAGCCCACTGAAGGAGGACACAGTGCACCGCTAATGGTTAGGGGGCAAGCCATAAAGCAATCAAGGTGTTTGCTCTAAGATGGCACATATAATGTGACGTGGGTGTGGATACAGATGGTTTAAAATCGGTCTTTTTAGCCTTAATAGAAGCAAAAATAACCAGTATGCAACAGTTTTGGGGAGTAACGGATTACATGTAACTGGATTATCAGGATACGGAAAAAAAGGTAACTGTGCTCCCTTACGGTAACCAGACAAAACTCAATCAGATTACTGTTACATATCTAAGTATTTGGGTTGACTAGCAGGATTACAATGTCACTAAAACACTAAAAATAGCGTATAGTGATTGTTGTAAAATAAGCAGATTGTATCTCTTCTCTGTAAACTGTACTGTTCTTTAGGCTAATACTTAAAGGTGGGGTAGGTACTTTTGGAGAAACCAGCTCGAGTGCGCTAGAATTTGAAAATACACAACCGGAAAAAATCTGCCACTTCCTTACAGAGCCCCTCCTCCAACACACACGAACGCGCACACGAACAATGAGGGCACGAGATAAGTTTGTGCACAGATGGAAGGCTGACAGGCAGGTAGGCCATCCAGTTACTTTAGCCGGGCCGGCTCAGATGATTGGTCGTGCTTTTTACAGCGCCACGGCTTCCACAGATGATATTTTTTTATGTATTTTTTGTCAAAGCACTTCAGATATTCATTGCTATCGGGATGTTAAGAGCATTCCATGGAATATAACAAAAAGTGTATCTCGAGCCGGTTTCTCAAACTTACCTACCCCACCTTTAAGTTTGTATAGTATAATAATTCTCATGTTACATTTCATTATTATTATTATCATTTGTTTGAATTATTGTTTTAAACAGTTGAAATAAATCTAATCA